TCAAGAATGTTGTCGAATATTGACCCTATATATTGTCCTCCTGCAGGGCTGTGTGATGCAGGATGATTCTCCCTCACTAGACGTTCTTTGTTAGGTCTCCAGCGTGTACACTCGATCATTCTGGACAATAAATGATAACAAAAAAGAGATAGGATAACATTGATGGATGGTTGAGGGCCAGAGGCGATCACTCCTCCACACATAATACCACGGTAGAGGTTGACAAATACCTGTCCTCCATTACCGTGACAAATTATGGTCGTAGTACACAAGACTGACTTTAAATCATCATTGATCCCAGGTTACCTCACTCTCTTCGCCCCCTCCTGGAGCTTAGTTGTACTTGTGTGTCGTTTATATGCATATTATGGTCTAATCATACCTGTATCAGTTAATTAAACGTTATCTAGTTACCTGTTGTTAAATGGTTTTCTCGGCTTTGGTATTCGTCCATAATCGTTAATCAATAATATTCAGGGTTTTCTTTTTCTCTTGATGTCAACACTGAAGGGGAAACGGGAAAATATAAATCACGAGAATTTTTTTTTTTATTTCACACAAAAAAATAAAACTCGTAAACCCTTTGATAAAATAAAATAGCAAAATTCCCTCTTTTTTTTAGGAGGGGGGGAGAAGTTCGTAGCGATTATCTGCCTCTCACTTGATTGAAAGACTGACAAACCACCAATACCAAACTGATGTCTATGAAAACACCGACTAACTAGCGACCGTGTTTTGTGGTCCCAGTGATGAATGTCCACTTGTTCATTTACATGACAGTAACGTGACGGCTTTTTGTGTTGGTGGTGACAGTGAGTGTGGTGATGGTGGTGATGGTGTGGTGATGGTGGTGACAGTGTCTGGTGAGTAATTATTGCTGTTGGTAGTGACTGTGTGGTGTTGTTAGTGGTGATAGTGACAGTGTGATGTGGTGATAGTGATGGTGTGGTGGTGATAGTGTGGTGATGGTGATAGTTAGTAGTGGTGTTAGTGATGATTGTGGTGGTCAAGGGTAACTAAGGTAAAATAATATCACTCAAATTATGAAAGTTTACATTATTTACTTTTTTTTAAATTGTTCTACTTTTTACATTTTATATTATAAGTTTATCAGTTTACTTTTTTATTTTAGAAAGACTGAATAATTGAATTTTTTTTATTGTATGATTAATTTTCCTCTTTTATAATATCAAAACAGAAATACGAAATACAACAAAATACGAAATACAACAAAATACGAAATACAACAAAATACGAAATACAACAAAATACTAAACACTTTATGACTTCCTAACTTGTAAATGTTTCATGTAACAAGATGCTCTACAAAAACTCTTTCAAGTAACACTATACCATCGACCATTTACCGTGTTGTTAAGCCACATACCTAACCAAGCCAAACACTGAAATTATTTAGAATAAGCTTCACAATACACAGCCGCAAGTAACACACTAAACCTTCAAAAACTAAAATAGTTACGTATATAAAGATTAACAAATAGCCATGCACTCTTAGAATAACAAAATAGTCATATACTCAGACATTAACAAAAAGTCATGCACTCAGATACAGTATAAACAGATAGTCATGCACTCAGATATAAACAGATAGTCTTGCACTCAGACATAAACCGTCATGCATTCAGACATAAACCACCATGCACTCAGAGATTAATACATCGGTAGTGATTCTGCAACAAAACCTTGATAGAATTCAACCCCATGACATTTTTATTCACCTTCCCAGCCAAGATAATTTTGCTTCCCGATTCCCAGATTCACTTACGTGTATAAATACGTGTCTTATCAGGAACCCCACCTGGACCTAGTCACAGCAGGAAAGATCAAAGTGTAAGGGAACAGTCGCCTGCACTTATACCTGGTACAGTGGCTGGCGCGTTTCGTGAGATGTGGCACCTCTGTAGAATGTTTATTTAGCATCCTTAGTCTGGTTACTATTCCCAAGCTCCTTAGGTCATTCCGGGAGTTTTAATACTATGTAAACAATCACAGTGTTGCCACATATAACAAAATTGCACCCAGCCACTGTATCAGGTATAAGTGACAGAGATAGTAAGTATTTATAGGAGATAAATTTTATGCATTTTAAGCTGGAAAGGAATATTTTCTTATCGTAGTAAATGATGGCTAGAGATTAGTTCTGATCTCGTGTCAAGGCGAATGTTAAAAAAAATAAATAATTTCCTCTAAAACTCATTTATCTTTCCCTGGGTTTCAAGACTTATAAGACATATGCCTGGGACCTTTGATTCTTGCTACAGATAATGAAGGTAAGTTCAACGTATACTATATAATGGAGATATAGAAAAGCACAACTTTATTAAATTTTACGGTGTAGTTTCTCTTGACTTCAATACATTTACTCGACCTGTCATTCAAATTCACTATGTCAGTCTAATAGAAGTTTTCTGATTACTCTTCAAACCTTGCCTCAACTACCTCATTCACCTCCTTCTGGCCTCTCCTTCAGGTTCCTCCTTCAGGCACTACTTCAGGTCCGTCCTTCAGGTCTCTTCTTCAGGTCGCTTGAGGGCCATATATGGGCTTCAAGGAGGGTGGTTAAGCTGCTCTATACCAGAGTCGTGTTCCGACATCTGTTCTTGACCGGCACAACAGCACACCTCTCATCAGCATTCCATCCCCAATTATTACGGTCATGGTCCAGGTGGCAGAGAGTTAATTTGTGAACTTCTTGTGGGTCGGAGAATACAGGTACTCTCATTGCTTGGGTTCCATCTGTGACTTGGAGGCAGCATGAAAACTGTCTTGATTGACCTCGTATTTTCTGGTGTTGTTGAAAATGCTTTACTTTCACACATTTTGTTTTGAATTTCATTACACTTTAGTGCACAGTATCATATTACTAAATTAACTGAAACAAATACTCAAACTTTCAACTTTACTTAACGAAAGTATCAGTGTCCTACCGTAAAGTTTTGCCTCGAAATTACACATAACACCTGACCACCACATAACACCTGACCATCACATAACACCTGACCACCACATAACACCTGACCATCACATTACACCTGACCACCATATAACACCTGACCATCACATAACACCTGACCATCACATAACACCTGACCACCACATAACACCTAGACGGAGAGGAAATGATTCTCGCCCCTGGAAAAGGTAACTTAAGGGAGCGGGTCATTAATCTTATGGTCCCTGACTGAGGTAAGTTCTTGGCCATGGTGGCAGACAAGGTACCTCTCAGGAGACGCTCTCACAATAGGCTCGCTGGGGTGATCTATCTCTCTACTTCACCTCATTAAACCCCCACAAGGACACCAGTTGA